CACTTGGGACATGTGGTTTCAGTAAAGAGCAATGAAATACCGGGTGGATCTTTAGGTTAGCTGGTAGTTCCAATTAAAATGCTACAGGATTGACCTTTCTCTTGACGGAAAATGGTCCCAGGTATCTTGGACCCAGCTTTTTGGATGGACAGTTTAATTTCAGATTAGCTGTGGACAGCCAGACTTTATCCCCTTGTTTAAGCTTTAAGTTGCCCCTTCTCTTTCTATCAAAAAACTTTTTGTTACTCTCTTGGGCCTCAGAAATTGTTTCTTGTAAAATTTTGCCGTTCCTCCTGAGGAACTCCATCCTTTCTTCTACCGCAGGGACAGCGGCCTCCACTGGTATTTCTGGAAGAAAGGAGGGGTGGTATCCGTAGTTAGAGTAAAAAAGGGGATTGTTTGGTGGCAGAGTGGATGGAATTATTATATGCGAACTCCGCTAGAGGAAGGAGTGATGCCCAGTCATCCTGTGAATATGAGGAGAAGCATCGGAGATATTGCTCCAGCGTTTGATTTGTCCTCTCCGTTTGTCCATTTGTTTGAGGATGATAAGCAGAGGAGAAGTGTAACTCAATCTCTAATGCCTCACACAGAGCGTTCCAAAATTTAGATGTAAATTGTACCCCTCGATCTGATACAATCTTTAAGGGAACACCATGAAGCCTTACAATTTCCCTGATGAAAGCAGAAGCTGTTTCTATAGCGGAAGGAGTCCCTTTCAAGGGAATGAAGTGGGCCATCTTGGACAAGCGATCAACTACCACTAAAATAGTGGTGAATTCCTCAGATGGGGGAAGTTCCACAAATAAAATCCATGGAGATCATGCTCCAAAGTTATTCTGGTACAGGCAGGGATTCCAGCAGGCCCCAAGTTTTGGCTTTATCCGACTTATTCCTCAGACAAACTGTGCACGATTTCACATAGTCCTGGCAATCTCTTGCTGCATTAGGCCACCAAAAGGAGCGAGAGACTAACTCTGATGTTTTGCGAATTCCAAAGTGACCTGCTCTGGAGAATAAGTGCTCGAAGTCCTTCGGGCACAAAGATCTGTCCCTTGTGGAAGTACAGGCCATCCTTAAATTGTAGATGCATATTTGCAGGAGGTGGGATATTGTCCATGGCTTCTTTTACTTGCAATACAAGATTCGTTTGTAGAAGTAGAAAGTTCTTGGCTGGTAAGATTGTATCAGGTTCAGACTGTACAACTGGGTCAGGAAACATGTGGGAGAGCGCATCAGGTTTACCATTTTTTGAACCCGGACGGTTGGTCAGATGGAACACGAAGCGTGAGAAAAATAGTGCCCACCTAGCTTGTCGTGGCCTGAGTCATTTTGCGGTTCTCAGGTACTCTAAATTTTTGTGATAAGTAAAGATGAGAATAGGAAGGACTGCTCCCTCTAGTAAATAGCGCCATTCTTCCAATGCTGCTTTGATGGCTAGTAATTCCCTGTCTCCCACATCATAATTTCTTTCAGAAACGTTCAATATCCGCGGGAGAAGAAGGCGACAGGATGCAGAAGGGATTTGGGCCCCTGCTGTCAGGGACCATCGCGACGCATGGGTCTACACAGGCGTAGGTGTCTGCCAAGACGTGTAGGTGGCAGGGCACTAGGACCCAGGCGCAACCGTCGTCTTGACAGTACTAGGCAGGCACTAGGACCTAGGCTATGCCTGTCAGGTGCAGGGCGGGCTATTTAAACCAGCTCTGCACAAACACTTGTTGCCGAATGGTCTTTGTATGCTGTTACCTGTGTTTGTGAGTATCTTGATTGTTTGACCTTGCTGCCTTCTCCTGTCCTGACCCTTGGCCTGCCTGACTCTGCTCCTGGATGTTCCCCTTTAAATCTGATCTTTTGGTATTGACCCTGCGTGTGACCCGACTATCCTTTGCCTACCGTTTTGTACCTCACCGACCCGCTAGTTACCGACCCGGCCTGTATGACTCTGATTTAGCTCATCCATCCCACAGGGATCACTAGGCTCCCTCACATCAGACTCTTAGCCCCCTGGAGCTCCTGTCAGACTCCTCTACCCCTGTTGGAGATACCTAGCAGCTGCGACCTGGTACTGGAGCGCTCCAAGTCCATCCCCACCATCAGGGGCCCTGGTGAACAAGTGCTCAGGTGCTTAGACTCCGCACTCTGGGGAGGCTCTGCCAGGGGATTGATAGAGGTGCTGTCAGGAGGTCCCTTACACCTGTCTTTGTGACAGAATGGCCCCTATCGCATTTTCTGAAGTATCAACTTCAAGGATGAAGGCTAGGGCAGGATTAGGATGTTTCAGGATGGGTGCGGTTGTGAACATAGTTTTTAGCTGTTCAAAGGCTGCTTGGGCCTCAGGAGTCCACTTGAAGGGCACATGTTGCCTAGTGAGCTGTGTAACTGGCGCTAGGATTCCCGAGAAGTCCTTGATAAACTTCCTATAGAAGTTCGCGAAGCCTATAAAGCGCTGCTGTTATGATCCGCCAGGTGGTGCCTCTGGCTGCCCACTTGACGACCTACCCAAAGCGTGGAGTCTAAGTCCCGGTCTGTGCTTTCACCAGGGCCCCTGATGGTGGGCATGGACTTGAAACAGACCAGGACCAGGTCACGACCTCTGAGCAGGCCCACCAGTGGCAGGGGGAACCTCCGGGGATGTATTGGTACCGGGAGAGCCAGATGTGAGGAGGACGGCAGGACCTAGCAGGATGGATTGCGAGCAGTGGTCCCGTGGGTTAGGCGAGGTACAGAATCGGCAGGCGGAGAATCGTCAGGTCACACGCAGGGTCAGCAGGATAAGTCAGTCCGTAGATAGGTCAAACAAGCCGGGGAATCAGGATGGGAGAAGGCAGAGTAGTCAGGAACAATCCGGGTCAAACGCAGGAGAAGGCAGAGTAGTCAGGACAATCCGGGTCAAATACAGGAGAAGGCAGCGTAGTCAGGGTCAATCAGGATCAAAAACACAGGTACAGGACTCAGGAACTCAAATAGACCTTGCAAAGATCAGTGACAGTGCAGGGCATCTTTAAATATCGCGCCCTGCACTGTCATTGGCCGCCCAGGACGCGCCCCCGGGCTGTCATTGGCCGCCCGAGGCGCGCCCGCGGCTCTCACTGCGCATGCGTGGCGTCCTGTCATCCGCGGCTCGCTGGGACCTGGTGCTTGTGTCCCGGCGTGAGCCGTCGCCAGCGCGCATGCGCCGGCCGACAGGACGCCGCGATCCCTGACAGCTGCACAGCTTTCCTATCTTCAGGTATGGACCATTCCAAGACGGCGGACACCTTCTGAGGGTCCATGGAGATGCCTTCAGGTGTGATCACCAGCCCAAGGAATTGGATAGACTGTTTCTCGAACTTGCATTTTTCAGCTTTTGCATAGAGATGGTGTTGGCGTAGTCTATCTATGCTGGCTCCTGCTGGTGAAGTAGATAGCCAAATAAACTCTTTTTCCAGGCTTTCATCTATATATCCCCGGAGGACCTTTAATTCAACTTCGGACAGAGGGTAAATCCTACCGAAAGGAATCTCGGCGCCGGGCAAGAGCTCAATTGGACAATCATAGGGCCTATGTGGAGGAAGGGTGTTGGCAATCTTTTTATTGAACACATCCAGGTATTCGTGGTAAGCCGTAGGGACCAGCTTCATGGTTTCAGGGTCAGAATGAATGCTGAGGAGAGGGATTGTCCCACCTGTCTCTTTGAGGGTGCAGTGAATCTGACAATATTCAGAAGGAAAAGAGATCTCTCCGGTCACCCAATTGATGGTTGGGTTATGTGCTTTTAGCCAAGGCATACCGAGGATGATTGGAAAAATTGGGGAAGTGATAATGTCCAGACATAAGAATTCTTGCTGTCCCGACTGCATGGATTCTGATAAGGTGTGGATTCTGATAAGGTATATCCTGACGAAGTCACGTGGTCCAATCGTGACGTAACGCGTAGATATGTCCGTGGGAGGAGTCGTAGCGGTGACGTCACCTCCGACGTAGGCACCATTTTGGTACACCTTATCAGAATCCATGCATGCAGTACACCTATAGCGTGGTGAAAAAGCGGTTTTACACCTACTAAAGTGTGAGTAGGAATTTTTAAGAGTTTATAGCGTTTTATGCAAATAAATGGTTTTACACTATGCTGGATTTCTTTGCCTTGCTGGGAACGTATTTGGAGAGGTTCTAAATTCCATTACTAAAGAAAGGGTCCCACCATTACTGCTGAAGAGGATCTGACGGTCTGTGGAGGAATAATAAGGCATCATTTGGCTCATTGGCCCTGAGGGGCCTGGGCAGGAAGGTGAGGGGGCACCCCTGTTACTGTGGATTGACACCCCGTTTGTTTGCACTTAGTGTGGAGCACATACACAAGAGAGTCATTCAAGAGTCCGATATAGTGTGTGGACTTCACTGTATAGCATTTCTCACAGCACCGAGAGTGGACACAGAAAAACCCCATGATAGGGGCATCACCAATATTGCATGTTTTACATATATTTGTATAAGTATTTTATAAGTTATAGCGCTGCACTACTAATAGATATTTATATCACATTGTATTGTGTGCCTGGGTTGTGGCATTTCAAGTGCTAGCTGCTTAGCGATAGGGGATTTAATAGCGCAGGAGGTATACTATACATTTTTCAGTGACATAATCATCTACAGGTCTTTGGCCTTGTTGTAGTTTTGCTGATCATAGACTCAGCAGTTTGGCGCTGGAAGGGGTCTGCATAAACTTGTGCCATTGCTGAAAAGAATGAATCCACAGAGGTTAGGGCCGGATCATGCTGTTCACGGAGATGGTATGCCCAGGACTGGGGTTCATTTCTAAGAAGGGTGATGGCAAACCCTACTTTAGTACTTGGTGAGGAGAAGGTCCTGGGGAGCAGAGAGAAATATAACTCACAGGAGTTACGAAAAGTCCTGAACTTCCGGCGATCTCTTGTGAAGGACTCAGGCATAGGTACCCAGGGTTCCGGTAGAACCGAGGTTTCAAGGAACATACTGATCTCGGTTTGAGTGGCTATACCACAGGTTACTGTGTCTGAGAGGACATTAGGATCGGTTCGCAGTTTGCTCTCCAGGTATTGGAAGTTCTTCTGCAGGTCCTGTATGACGTTGGACAAGGAAGTCACAGTTTGGCGAATGTCCCCCAGTTGTGAGGCCTCCCTTTCAGACTTCATCATTGGCTGACTGGTACTGTCACTTACCTAATGGGAGACTGAATTGACGAGGTCGGCCTCACTTGTGTCACTAATTCTGAGCCCGCTGAGGTTGGAACAGAGTGTGTCTAAGGACCAGGGGGACAAGAGCGCCAGGGTTTTGCTTGCGGCTCTTGCAGATGATGACCTTGATAAGCAGGATATCCTCTGATTTGGGTACTGTGGAGATAAACCAGGCAGGTACAGTGGATTGCCAGATGCACAGCAGAGCCAGGTATGTAGCCAAGACACAGGACTGGAACGGAGTCGTAGGATAGCCAGGGTCATAACAGTCGGGCAGCGTGGTACAGGATCAGGAGGAAATGCCAGAGTCAGGAACAGAGCCGAAGTCAGGAACCGTGGGGGCAGGAGAGTACTCAGAGTCGGGTCAGGAACAAGCCGGGTCAGAACCAAAGGAAATCGCACAGGAAACAAGCAGGACACGGGGAGAGCTGAAGACCAGTCAGCACTGAATGAGCACCGAGGTGCTCTTTAAATAGCCCGCCCAGCGCCGACAGGCACGCCTGGGTCCCAGTACCTGCCGGTGCCGTCATTGGTGACAGGCGCGCCTGGGTCCTAGTGCCCGCCTGCCTGTATGCCTTGTCGGGATCCTGCACATGTGTAGATTCATGTGCTGCGGCGATCTTCTTGTTCCCTGACAGGCTCCCTGCTTACCCAGGGTGTGAGATGGGGACTGGGACAGAAGGGCTCCCTATGTATGCATGTAATGTGCTGTGCCCTGCATACTCGAATATGCAGCTAATTCACCCAGCTATGAACTGCAAGGGAACAGCTTGTTGTGCAGGTTGTGGTAGTAATAAAGCTATTAGTGCATGTGACCCACAGGTTTATTCTTGTAAGATCTGCATGTGATTTTGTCTTCATTCTACCTCCTTTTGTAATACAGCTAAATGTAGTATTTTCCATAAAATACTACATCTACTGTATATAGGACAGATATTTTCTATTCCAGACATATAATGTATCTCTCTAACCTACTTCTGTCTGTTACTCTGTTGCAAATGCACTGATTAATGTATATATAGGGGAATGGTGTTAATCATGGATTATACCACTGGAGTGTGTCATCCCTATATGAAAATAGCAAACAGGAATACGAGCAATGGGACTTTAAAAACCCCTCCAATTGTCAAATATACACAAAACACTACATATTTAAAAAAATTACATGACTTTATTACATAAATTTAAAAACATTTAAAACATATATGGTTTGAAAAAGGACAACAACTCTACCACTTGTCTTCCACATAGATGAATTGAAGAGCTATAGTATGGAAGTCTTCAGAGATTTTTGAATGTAGGTTGACATGTTTCGTGGGATGACCTGCTTCATCAGGACCTTAGATCTCAAATATAAATACAGCTGACCACTAAAATAGTATTGGAAAAATACAAATTATCCAAAGCATCATACATATTATATATTAGAAAAAACAGCAACAACTTAATAAATATCTACAAAAACCATCTATACACAAAAAGAGGAAGAGAGGGAAAGAAAAGGAAAGAGGGAATAGGAAGAGGGAAGGATTGGGGAAGAAGGGGAAAGGAAAAGGGGAGGGAGATGAGGAAAGGGAAACAAATGGGGAAAGGGGAAGGGGGAGAAAATACATACAAATAAGTACATACTGTATACACATGCAGTATATACCTATCAAAATGAAAGTTAAAATTCACTTATAAGTATACATTTTGTTGGTAAACCACCAATGAGAAGATGGAATATTACATTTTTATATACAATTTTTCTGGGGGACTGTCCGGCTGTGTTCATGTTGGTCAATGTCCTCCACCCTATGATCATCTGTGGCCCTGCCTGTTTTATGGTGGCGCTGCACCCCCACACATGGGAGGAGTTAACATCTGTGCCCCGTTATGCGGCCGACAATCTGTTTGGATGTCCCGGGTGTTTCTGTGCTCGGTCTGTTGGTGCTGGACCCGATTTGTTTTTGGGTCCAGCGGCACTTGCATTTCGATGTGGAGCACTTCAGGACATCCACCGGATGTGACACTGATCTAGGTGCCACATCACTTCTAGGTCATCGTGTGTGATCAGCGGTGGGTCCCAAAAGTGCAGCCTTGTTGCTGGATTTAGCCTGGATGTGTTCCATCTAAATGTAGTTGGAGGAGTGGATGAGGGAGGGGCCTGCCCATGCCACCCGGGTTTTGGGACATTCTATTGGCCCCCATCCGGGGGATGTGGGTGGCCACCAGAAGTAACCACCTGACTTTGGAGAGATATATCTCTGGGCTTTTCATGGACACCCAGGATGCCTTATTCTTTGGACCATGTGGCATATTTGATCAGCTCTCTCATATACACGGTGAATTTATGGCACTAGAAATCTTTGTTCACTATAACACTGGAAGTATTATGCATACAATTGAGAATATGGGCTGATATTGATATGGATATACATTTGATTCCAGGGATTGGTATCTCTTCCTAGGCACCTTCCGGGAGTAATGGTTGTTGATTCATAAGACCGGGACCATCTTTATGTAATTAGTAATTTATTCTTATTCAAGGTAAGCTTACAGTCCCAACCTTATTTTATTTTATTTTTTATATTAAAGACCTTTAATTGGAGTCCTTTGGAGGTCTATTGTCTGGGTCTGTTAGATGTGGGCCCAGGGACATGCAGAGATTAATGATAGTATATGATTAATTCTATGGTAGAGGCCATAATATTTGAGAGAGAGCGGCGAGGCAGCCTTTTTTTTTAAAAAAAAACATTTGAGTGAACTATCTGCAAGTCAATAACCATGAATATTGTTCAGTGCCTGGACAGTATGTAAGCAGTTGAAATAGAAATTAGAGTGTATTATTTCAGAGATAACAGCCAAAAATACTATTCTGCAGCTAGACAATAGGTATGCAGCTTGGTTAGTCCGTAATATAAGAGGAAGAGGAGAGGCAGGTTTTTTATTGCAATAAAAATATGAGTGAATTACCTGAGAGACAATAGCTATAAATATCATTCAGTGGCTGGGTAGTATTTAAGCAGCTTGTTTAGGCTGCAATATAACAGGGAGAGATGAGGCAGGTTTTATAGTGAAATAAGCATTATCTGAGAGACAAAAACCATAAATATTTTTGAGTGCTGGAACACTGGAACGGGCCACAACCTTTAAGGCACATTGCAGGATTTTCCCTGCAACAAACATTAGAAATTTGGCAGCTGAGGTCCAGCAGTGAAACATTGTGGAGCTCCTTTATAGTGCCAGGGCACTGAAATTGGCTGCAGACTTTTAGAAGCAAAGCAGGATTAACATTGCAAAAACAGAGGTTTTCCAGCTGAGGTCCAGCTGCTAAAGCATTCGGTGGCACCTTTACCAGATGGCAGGAGCTGCTAATGGTGTCAGGTGTAATTTTTTTTACAGGTGGGAGGCACATGACAATTAAAAGCTTACTCTGTAGCATCAGCAGCAGTTGTTGCAGTCATTGGTAATCAAAGCTTTATTTGAAAAGTATTGTTGGTAAACAATAAACAAGAGTGCTGCTGCTCACAATTGTCAGCATGCTGTGCCATCTTCCACAGTCACAAGAGTCTTGCATTTTTGGAAGACTATGCAGACAACTAGGCTGGGACTGTGCTGTATCATATACTTGGATTATGGATAATTCTCTGTTTAATTCTTTCTTAAACGCAGCTGGAAATTTGCATTTGAAAAGTAGCAGGGGAGAAATGAAATCTGTTTTAAGCAACCTGGTATTTATCGTCACATCACAGAAAAGTTAGCAAGCTTCTATTGAAGTGTGATGTCACATGGAGAAGCTAGGGGGAGCACCTAGCACCATAGAACCAGAGAGGCTGAAAATGTTTTCCTGCTACGCTATACTGCTTGAAGTACTGTGAAAATAATAATTTATCGGAAATATTGCTCTTAAATTATTTCACTACAGGAAATTGGTTTCTGATTGGTGTTTGGCTACTGAACATTGCACATCATTATGGCTCTTTGCACTGCTGGAGTGAATAAACCCTAAAATAATACTAAAATGAGGAATATGCAACCTTAACATAAAAGGGGCTCCTTAACGTTATTATTATTATAAAGGATTTATATAGAGCCAACAGTTTGCGCAGCGCTTTACAATATAAGGGAGACAGTACAATTACAATATATTTCAGTACAGAAGGAATTAGAGGGCCCTGCTTGTGGAGCTTACAATCTAAAGGAAGGGGGAGATGATACAAAAGGTGATAGCTGCAGGGGATGATCTGGTGGAGGTGATTCAAGTACAGTTCTTAGGTGGAGGTGGGGTAGGCTTCATTGAAGAAGTGCATTTTCAAAGATCGCCTAAAGGCAGACAGGGTGGGGACTGACCGGACATGCTGTGGTAGGGAGTTCCAGAGGATGGGAGAGGCTCTGGAGAAGTCCTGGAGGTGAGCATAGGAGGAGGTGATGAGGGAGCTAGAGAGGAAGATATCATAGGAGGAGCGGAGTGGGCGATTTGGCCGATATCTGTGGATGAGGTCGGTGATGTAGCTAGGGGCAGTGTTGTGGATGGCTTTGTAAGCTGTGGTTAGTATTTTGAATTTTATACATTGGGTTATTGGAAGCCAGTGAAGGCATTGGCAGAGAGGGGCAGCAGACGCTGACTGGTTGGTAAGGTGTATGAGTCTAGCAGCAGTATTCATAATAGACTGAAGGGGCGATAGCCTGTGTAACGGTAGACCAGTGAGAAGGGAGTTGCAGTAATTGAGGCGGGATATAACCAAGGCGTGGATAAGTTGTTTTGTGGTGTCATTGGTCAGGAAGGGGTGGATTTTGGAAATGTTCCGGAGGTTGAGGCAGCAGGATTTAGCCAGTGAGTGGATGTGGGGCCCAAAGGAGAGCTCAGAGTCTAGGATTACGCCTTGCACCCTGACATGAGGGGAAGACCAATGGTTTTGTTGTTGTTCCTAATGGTAAAGTCGTGAGTGGGGGGGATCGGGGAGGAGGAAATATTACAAGCTCAGTTTTTGAAAGATTGAGTT